AAAGTATGTGGATTATGAGTTAAATGTTTATGAATAATGTTGATGAAAATTATGAAACTAGGTTAAGAATTTATTGATTGATGTGCTACCCTTAATCGAGTATAATTAATTGTGTTGAGTTTGAATGGTTGCTAGGAAGTTGTGCAAGTGAAGAAAGTTTGTCGTAGTGGTGTGCCGGATGAGGTAACGAGTGATCGGTAAGTAGAGTTAGTTAGATATGCACTTGAATCAATGGCAACGTAATGTCCCGCTATTGTAAAGTGAGTAGGAGGTGTCGATTTTCAAATTTCAATAATATATATATATATTGCTTTATGGTGGATAGACGTATCGATTTATTTTAAATACGATTTTTGGATAGCATGAGCTGGTAGATATCTTAAGAATTTGTGAATGTCAAAGTATTTGAAATTATCTTGATCATATATATATATATATATATATATATACAAGTTATGTATGTAAAGGATTTTAAAACCGAAAAACAAGCTTTTTACTACATTTTTTATCAAAATGTGCCTTATTGATTGTGTGATGCATATTCATGAATGAATTTCATACTCACTATGCTGATTTGACATCCAAACCTCATGCAAAAGGTTTATAATGTAAAGTTTTATAAAAAGGGGATTTTATCATGTTACGATGATCTGTATTTTGAAAATGATTTGAAATGATCCTTTGAAAATTCGATTTATCTTTTAAATGGTTTTATCAAATCGGGAGATTTGAGAGTCGGCTGGTTGTCACTTCTATTAAGTATGACCTTTGTGCATAAGTGAGCTCTAACTAGAGAACTTTTGAGTCCCCGACGGGCTGTTAGACATAGATGGGGTCACGATCTGTGATATACATGGTAAGGCCATGGGTTGATATATGTGGCTAGGCCACAAGTGATATACGTGGTTGCGATCGTCTGATTTCTCCAATGTCGGTCAATATCGTTGAGACTACCATGGTTATGGGGATCTGGTGGAGCGGAGCTCCAGGATGTTATTACTTGGAAGTAGGTCCATAAGTTCTTTATTTCTATTACTTACTCGAGAGTGATATCTCTTTGGGTTTTCACGTACATAGTTTTTTGCATGATGAGAAATACTAGTTTTTTTCGCAACTCGCCTATTTGATTAAAAGCTTTCAGTGCTTTAAA